TTTTTGATTTCTGGTGTATCATTTGTCAGTTTGAGGATGGCCGATGTATCCGGGACACTCGTTATTTTTATATTTAAGTTTTGTACTATGCTCCAGTAAAATAAAGAACGCAAACAAATTTAATCGTGCAGCATGCAAAGTTACCATGATTGAAAGTTTTGGCAAAACAAGCCAGAAAACTTTGATATGTGTCAAGAAGTAAGTGGGCTATCCATTTTCAGGTGATAACTGCTGTTTTCTGTTTTCTAGAGTTTTTCCATTGGTCGTTACTGTTGCAAAAGATCTGAACTTTATCATTCCCTTCACCACTTTAAGTTTCATATGTATCAAGATTGCAGAAAACAGGTAATGTATGCATTCTAGACCAAGGGCGATAGGCAAAAGTGCCTGGGTTAATGCAATACTAGAAATAATACATGAATATTCTTCTTCTTGGATAAAATAAGTTATTAGTAACATTCTAGAAATGGAAAAAAAACAGTACTACCAGCATTACCATGGTGACATGTTTTCACTCAAACTCGTACATGTATTGGTTTTGCGTCTTGCTCGGACTCTGAGTTTTAGAAAACATACTGGTACGTCTAGCACATACAAGACATCGCCACAGACTTTTTGAAATCATTCGAATGTAGGACGCCTTCTCTACGCTTTTCATAATAGATGGGGTATGACACATCCAAAGCTGACCAATGTGTTCGCCATATAGAACACGTGACCTGCAATTTTTCATCCAATGCTTGTACCATTGCTTACGTGTACCATGCTCTTTTTAGCATTATTGTGCATGTATGCCTTATATAAAAGAAGGTACACACCATGTTCAATTATTAAAAAACGTAATTAACTAATCTGAGCTCAATATCAAGTGTTTGCTGTGAAATGCAGGAACTTTAATAATCGCTGTCACTAGATGCATAGCTGCCGTTCTGTGCATATTTAAAGTTAGTTCGATGACAGGCGAAATAATCTTACCAGAAATAAAACAAAGATATACCCTCACACAACTGCAGCTACTGATGTGTTATTAACAACCAACTTCCCGGGTGATTTTGAACAATATTTGTACAGCCAGCGTCAGGGTGCGGTAACTCAAAAAATAGGCTCGATCAAGCAAAATTTTCCATTTGTTCATAAAAAATTAGGTTTATTTCTTTATTTATAAAGATTTTCAAAAATTACGTACTATTTTACACTAAAATAATGATGATGTTAATACTGTTCGCGAACGAGAATTCTGGTACGCGGTGTGTCTGAAAATGGAATGCGCTGTGTCATACCTCGTCTATTTTATAGTCCTTTAGCGGAATTTCAACTATGAAGTGGAAGCGCGTGTAATTCATCGGTGGCAGCACTGTTAAATATTTTTTACAACTCTCATGTACACTTACGGCTTTCTCAATTTATTGGTGAAGAAATTAAATATAGATATAATGGCGCAGTATCTAGTTTGTGTGTATATTTAATACGAATATTATTTCTTGAATCTTTCAAAGCAGAATGTATCACTGATCCAACATTTTTGCCTAACACCCTTGTCTAGACCGAATAATTCTCTTTTTCTCGCCTTTGGTGTCCAGGTCAACCATCCTCGTTTGCTCGTAATCCCTTAGTTGTTCTAGCAGCCGTAACACAGTTATGAAAAGTTACCTCTCACTTTTGCCATTTGGTGGAACCCCGAATCCCTTCATTCTTTTCATGTCTCGTACGTTATGTCTCGTACTTTATGCAAGTCTGATTGCTTTGATATTATACATATAGGTACCTCTCTCAGATTTGTTCACTTCAAGATGATATCTTCGGTTCTTATTGAAATGTGCATTGCTAACAGCGAAGCTATCTCAGCTGAGAGGCTGCTTGTTCTATTTATTGTGTTTGTCTGTTTTGTTATGTTGCCAAGGTAACCAAATGTTGACTGTGTTATTGTAGGTTGAATATATAAGACTGATAAAACACAAAGTAAGAGATGATGAAGTGATTCAGATATGTATGGAAGACAACAATTGGATTGAACGGGTGAGTAACAGGGCAGTCTGTTTCATGCAAAGTAACACCAGAGGGCATTCTATTGAAAATATGCTAACAGTTGAGGGCAGTATATTAAATAAGGTAACTTTGAAAGACAAGAAGAAACTTAAATTTACGCTGGCATTATTCCTAATAGTAATAAACTCTTCGACAAGTAATTATAGTACATGTACTTATATAAGATACAAAGTAAATGATTCTAGAGGGCAGTTTTTTTTTTCGATTATCGCATCATTGTATCGGCTGGTTCTCGCCTCAAGTGTCAATGGTTCCGCCATTTTGATTGGTCCATCATTTTCTCATTGCTTGTTAGTCTCCGTTCGGACGCAGTCCGAAAACGGGGACTTATGTTTTGCCCTGTGTGCGTCCGTCCGTCCGTGCGTCCGTGATCACCTGTATCTCGAACATGCATGGACCGATTAAGTTCAAACTTCACTCATACATCACACATTATATGGGACATATGCACATGCATTTTTTTCATGATCCTATTAACGATAGCCGAATAGCGGCCATTTTAAGGCCGAAAATGCATCAAAATCGCACATTTTCACCATTCCGGACCCGGATCTCAGTTAAGCATGGACGGATTTTGTTCAAATTTGGTACATACATTAAACATAATAGGACCTTGATGCACGTCATTTTTTTTGGATCGGG